CTCTCTCTCTCTCTCTCTCTCTCTCTCTCTCTCTCTCTCTCTCTCTCTCTCTCTCTCTCTCTCTCTCTCTGTGTGCACGTATCCGAACTTGACAACAAATATAAAAAAGTAAACTAAACAAGACTATTGCGCTGCGCAGTATCTATGTGGCAACTCCATTCGTGAGGTCACTATCAACCGAAGCATTTGTCGTACCGTGTGCACGGCTTGCCCTGCCTAACCGCCAATGTCGCCATACGCCCTACGGACGTGTCAATGACTCAGTGAGTGCGCGTGGAGAGAACCATCTAAGCGGCGCATTTTATAAGCCGCACACGTGGATAGTGACACTGTCATTAATTAAAACACAACACGCACCCGTCTGCAACACCTGCACCGAACGCCCCGCCACCTTTAGCGTCCCCCCTCCCCACCTCGTTCGGAGATCGAAGAGTCTCCCCATGCAGGACGACCACCCGACCGGTTGACCTTCCAGATGAATCCGCGTGTCACTTGCCGTCACCACCATCTTCATCCGTTGGAGGACCATTGTCGATCTAGTCGTGTTTTGTGGCTTCGGCAACATTCTTCAGAGCGGAGTTGTGATCGCACACCAACCCCGACAACCCGCAATCAACCCATTCCGGGATGCAAGGCAGGTACTCTCCCAGTGTGAGGTGGGGCTTCCCGAGGCGATCCAACACGAGGTTGGCGTTGTCGACGATGTGTCGCCTCCAGTTGAAGATGTATGACCCCGCCGCTATGAGAGTGGGTTTCGCGGTCAGTGATGCGTACAATCCTGCCTCATAGTGCAAACGATCGTCATCGACACCCATGCACATGATCCACATGCACGCGCTCAACAAAACCCTCAGACAATCCCCAAACTGTGTTAACCTCTCTTGTTTCAATCTGCCGCCGTCCGCCCTTTGTCTGCACCAAAGTGCATCTGTCGAGCACTCCACCACGTGAAGAACTATTGCCTCTTGTTGCGCCGCCATGTCATTATCTTCAGGTCTGCCCACAATTTTCACCCCAGCGAACCACAAAGGCACGTCCATCGTCATCTGCGGCGTGTAGTAAATGAGAACTGGGGAAACCACTCTCAACCATTCCAACCCCTGCCAAACAGCTCGTGTGACGTCGGTAGCGTAGTCGACGGTGATGTACGACTCTGCACGAGCGAAGCCATTCGACCTCGACGACGATTTGAAGATCCACCCGTGGATGGTGCACATTACCAGTTTCTCCATGATGCGCGCTCTACGCAAAGCCGGTTCACGCTGCTCCGGATCGTCGATCTTGAAGCGTGGCTTGTCGTTGGGCATGATGAGCATGGACGCCTACGTCTCTGTTGGCGATTATCGCCGGTTTGTTTTTGTTTCACGTTGAATTCGATCTTCGTTTTGGAGGAGATTGTCGACCGTCTCAGGATGTGCTGCGTGAATAGACCACAAACAAATTTTGTGTTTTTTTTTTTTTTTTTTAGTAGTTTTTTCTTCTTTTTTTTTCGTCCTTCTTTTCATTTGCTTTTTTTGCGAATCTTTTGTCCTTGTTTTGTTTTGTTGCAGTCCTGGATCGTTGAAGTGTGGTCAGTTCGAAGACGCTCCGTTTCTTCTATCCTTTGGCGATGCATGAAGCCTCATTGGGGGGGGGAGGAAGCTCCTCGCCGTACCTGAAGCCCATGGATGCGCCTTGCCGCGCTTGAAGCCCATGGCGGAGGGGGGGAGGTGGGAGGGGAGCGATTTGGTGGGGGGGATGATATGGGCGCTGGGTGTTTTCAGGGGTGGTGGTGCAGGGGTGGGTGGCAGGCCCTTTCGAGCTCCAGCGGGGTCCTCCTGCGCGCCGACATTCAATGGAAGGACCAATGGAAGGATGACCTCCATTGGGCGGGGAAGAAATGGTCTGCACACAGTCAACGAAGGGGCGGGCTTCAGGCACGGCGAGGCGCATCCATGGTGTGGTGAGAGACTGCGCACGGTACAAAAGGATAGTCTGGGCACCATTGCGTACCGCAGTCCTTCCATTGCCACGGCTCCAGAGGTGCCTTGTGTGCACTACCCTCTCGTCGTACACCTCCGCATCCCGTTCGACGCTTTGCGCCTCCACATCGTCTGCTCTCACTTTGTGGTGGACCTTTCTGGTCGCTGTCCTCGAACCTCCTCTGTGGCCAGTGCCCCGTCATACGCGCTGTCCACGTCCTTCCTTTTCGTCGGTCGTCGAACGTTGATGTTCACGTGCACGTCCGCGTCGCACCACAGCACGCCTTCATCGACCACGTGGCAGGGGGGCTGAAGCTGCATCCATATGGCACTGCGGGGCACGACAGGAAAGGGCAGGAGAGATAGCGGTCTTAGTGAGGGGGGGGGAAGACCAGAAAGGTCGAGGCCACATGCCCAAGTCGAAAAGGCTGCGCGTTGATGAGGCGAGCTCGGAGAATGACGACGACTTCCAATTAGAGGAAGTTGCGGTGGTGGACGTGCAAGGGGCGTCGGGGAGCCAGCGATTGGGTTTTGGGCGAGACGGGGTGTCGAGGGATCAACTGGCTGCTATCAGACAAGCTTTCGTTGGTGGTGCCGCCAGAGCGTCACCTAGGACACACAAGGCGCAAGGGTTTGTCATCACCGAGGCGCGCGTGCACAAGCAAGCTGCGGGGGTGGGTGAGGTGACGGTAAGCGGCGTTCACGCACCGATCGTCCCGGTCGCTGGGGGTGGCCGACTTGACAAGGCAGTGATCGGGGCAGACCAGCTACGTCAGGCACTCCCCGCGCAAAAGGCGGGGGGTTCAAGCGCGACGATAACACCGCCCCCGCAAAAGAAAGTGGACGCAGGCGGCAGTAAGACGGTGGTGGGAGATCATCACACTTCTGCAAGCGGAGTCGCGGAAGGTGTGGTGGAGGGGAAGGTCGATGACGTGCACCGTGAAGATGGTAAAAGAGATGGACGACGGGAAGGCGATGATGACGACGAACGACCCCTTGCCAGCAGGCGGAAGAGAACTGCAAAGGAGGTTAATATGGAGGAGAGGTCGAAGTTGTGGGTTGGCCCCTCCTGTGTCTACACTACCTCCACCACGACACACTGTAGCACTCAGGACGACAGCAATGACGCTTCTCCTGAAACGCACATCTTGCGATCGCACCGACCTCGGAGACGCGTGACCTAGAGACGTTAAGATTGCTCGCGGATCGCTTTCACGATCTCCAAAAGGGCGTTGCACATCATCAGGTTCGCCTGGTTGGCCTTCGCGTAGTGGTCCTTCTGCACCTCTACCTCTCGCTCAAGAATGTCGCATTGCCGCATCAGAACTGAACACTGCCTCTTGCTCGCGTTGTTCGCCGCCATCAGCTTCCCATGCTTATCCATGACGTCGGTGATCGCATCGAAGGTCTCCTGTCTGACATTCTTCCTTTTGCCGCCCTGGCCTACACTACCACCGCTGAACGTTGAATCCCTCGTCGATCCCTGATCGTCGTTCTGTCCGTCCCCACATCCCTCGCTAGCCACGGATTCGTTCTGGCCGCCACCTGGCCCAACCATCTGAACCCCTCCAGCCGCACCCGTGTCTGTGAGATTCGCCAGGTGAATAGTGTGATCGGCCTTCAACATCACATTCATCTCGGAATACACACGCTCATCCATCCGAAAGTCGAACCCTTTCTCCTTCCTCTCTGTCGGCATTAGTGTGAAGAAATTTTGCTTCCCGGATTGTCCCATGAATCTGTATATGGATTTGAACTGCTGGTACAGGTTGTCCCAATTTTTCCCATATTCCTCGGCCTTCCTAGTAGTCACCCCCGCGTTCACGAGCCTCTTCTCAACGTCATCCCACTTCCACGTCCTCGACTTCATTTATCCATAGTTGTGCCCCAGCCCGGCGAGATCGCCGAGATGCAAATCCTGGTCTCTTTTCGCCCGGACCAGAGCAATCATATGATCGACGGTCCAAAAATCCCTGCTTTTCCCTCCGTCGCCTGTCGACGTGTCATCTACAGCCTTCTTGCCTTTCCGCCCCGCACGTGGTTCCGTCGACTTGTTTGTGGCCCAAGTACCTCCATGCTTCCTCCCAAGCGGTCGAATCTTCATCTCGCCGTCATCGTCTTCCCCGTTATCATTGTCGCTGTCGTCTGCCGTGCAATCTTCCCCCCCCCCCCCCCGCCATCGCAGTCCACGAGCATGTCATGGCCCCC